TAAGAAGCTGTTATTAAGGTGTGGTCATGTAGCAATGACTGAGACTTCTTATGCTGTTTGGGGTGGAGAGAAGTCAAAAGTGAACAAGTTAACCTTGCTGATTTTTATTAAGGTATCTTAAGTGAATGCTGAGAGAAGGTAGCTGTACACGGGCTAACCCCTGTTAGCCAACATACTAAAGACTTCCAACGGAATTAGTACCTTTTTTTTGGTTCTGAGTAAATATGGGGAGTTCCAACATGCTCTGGTTTATTTTAGTACCAATAGTTACAGAACAGCTGGCAAAGTCAAGACTTTCTGGTCTTTGGATTTATCAGTTTATATTTGCAGAGATACTGACACTTCAGTGTCAAAATACAGAGCATTTGAAACTGGGTAGTTAAAGCTGTTTTCTTCTAACTTCAGCCAGATCTTCAGAAACTGCCCGTACCATTCGTTCTGTAACTTTCTTCAAACTGTTTGCTGTTTTTATGGCATGATCCAGAGTAGACATTAAAATCTGTTGGGAATAATAAAATACAGCCTTGTTAATACTGAAGGCAAATGTTTAAATAAACCATAGAATAGAAAGCGATGTTTAATTAAGGTTTTATGTAGCATTTTCACTCTGAATACATGGTGAGAAGCAAAAATTCTGAGTCCTGTGACATCCTGCTCCAAGATTCAAGGTCAAAGTATCTGTTATTTCTCTCATTGATGGTGTAATCCTTTGAATTGAGCGATATATATATCTTTCTAAAGTAACAGCCCCAGTGTGGTGCATGTTTGTGGTATCAAGAAGGTGGTCTTCTGGCTTTGATAGTGGTTTCTCTGGCTAGGGCAACATTCTTTGTTTGAATATAAGAAATATAATTCCAAAGGTAAGATCTCATGTTTCTTTTCTGTCCCTTTCACTATTTATACAGGGACTAAGTTGCATAGAAAGTCTAACAGACAGCATGAAGTAATATACTAATAAGTAAGCTAAAATACTTGGGTTTTTAACTCCCTCCTGTCTTATCCTCAGATGGACTGGACATGCTTAGACTGTAATAATCAGCTTGTTAGGAATGGGCCACTTGTTAGGAACAGTGCCATGATGTGGGGATGTACTCTTCCTGAGGCAGTTTTGTGGCTTTTAATTCTCGCTCTCAAGTCTTACATTTGCATTAGAATCATTGGCATTTCTGTTTCTGATGTTGATTGCAGATTTGCTTTGGGCCAACTTCTTGCTGGGTAAGTAGTGATGTGAAAGGATAATTTTATCATATGTGCTTGAGTAGCAGGTTTTGGCAGCCTCAAAGTTTTGCCTAAAGATAAGATAGATACATTCATAGAATAAAATACAATTTTAGTAAGCAAAACAATTTCTAAACTATGAATTTAATGCATACACCTGGATAGCATACTTGGTTGCAAGTTAATTTTACAGTGAGTAAATTTTTCCATTTAGTCATAAAACACAGTCCTTCATAACTTGTCCTGCATCTGTATTGCAGTAAGGCAGAAAACATTCCTGGATGGACTTGGGAAATCTCTCATAATAACATCACGGAGCTGAAATTTTTTAACTAAGTGATGGATGCCAGTGATTCTCAATAGCAGCTGCTGTACTTCCAGGCAGTTACTGCTATTGAGTAATCTGCTATTGAGTAAACTACGGTAATAAAACTTGCCAGAGTTTCAGTCTTGTCTGCGTTACAGTTAAGAATCCATTTCACTTCTTAGACTCGCAGTGTAATTTAATATTAACAGTTAAAAGTACGACTGTTACTTAAAAAGAAATAGTCATTACCAAACATCTTAAATGATACAGACCTGCTTTTGAATGTGAATGGGAACAGCCTCTTCAAGTGAGATGTTTTCACTACTAAGTATGTCAGCTAAACAAGTCAGATGTTGTCATTAAATTACAAATATTGAAGAACTACTCTAACAACTACTTGCTATTAGAATAAATCTTTTAATTCCACTAATGAGTAAAACTCTAATATACAGCATACACCGCAAAAGATAAAACATTGGTGCGTGTGGTACTGGTGAGTCTTCTCCATGCTAATTCTTCAACAATAGCATTTTCTGTTGTACTACATATATTTATTGCTACATCTTACCTTTCAGAAAGTCTGTTTACAAGTTTACGTGGCTGTTTATTTTTCTGAGCCTTTTGAGTGGAGATCCTCTTCTGTGAATACGCTGCAGTCATTAAGACAATGTTCAAAACAAACACCAAAAAAAAGTAACTTCCCATGGTTTTTTTCTCTATTTAGCATGAATTAAAAAAATAAGTAACTATCACTGAGCAAAATTTGAATATGTTT